TTCTTTATTTTTTTATTATTATCTTTACAATAAATGTGGCTTTTTGCCTTATCCCCCTCATAAGATCTCAGTTTCAGCAGCAGCTGACTTGGGGATGCCTGGGGTTCTTAAGTTGAATCTGTATGTAAGTCAGAACTGGCGTCCAGATTCAGCTGCTGTTGAAACTGATCAGTTTCAGCAGCGGCTGAATCTGGACGCCAGTTCCGACTTACATACAGATTCAACTTAAGAACAAACCTACAGTCCCTATCTTGTACGTAACCTGGGGACTGCCTGTATGCACTTCTATGTGTGTGTTAGAAAAAGCAAAGCTGAAGAGTTGCACTTGGAGTGTAAAGTGGTACAGTTTCAGCCTTAGTTCCTATGAGAATGTTTTCTGTCATCTTGGACCAGTCTCCAAAAAAGCTTTGTCTTCTGCACAGACGTTTTGCATGTGGATTTGCATTTGGATTTGTGATTCTCTTGATCAAGCTTGATTGGTAATCTGGCAGGATAGTGTGGTGCTGTTCTGCTCATAGGCCTAGTCAGTGGTCTAGATTAATTTTTGATGTCAAGAAAGTTATACCACGGATTAAGTTAGTGTGCTTTAAATTAGAACACTGGAATGTTGTTAGGAGTAGCTATATAAGTAAAGACAATTTTCTCTTAGCATTATCATTATAAACTATTTTTTTCAAGAGTATGACCTGAAGGGATGTAAGCATTCCAAAGAGCCTTTTTACTCCTTTAAGCATTGCCCTGTAGTGATTTTGCTTGCTAGAGTGTACCCTGTGAAGTGTAATAGCAGTGGAGTAGTAAGCTTAATAAAGTACATTATCCCTAATTGGCTCTGTGTTGAAGCAAATCTACAACCCTGTTAGACTCTGGCTCTGTGAGTTGACAAGGATGTCATTGGAGCAGCCTATGAAAACCTAGACAGAACTAATCACCAGGAAAGGATTCCAAAAACATTTTATGTGCTGCTTGGAGCCTTGTTGCTAACTAAGACCACCACCAATACTGCAGAAGGTTTCTTCTTGCGCAAGAATCAACAGACTGGAAGACAGGTTCTTCAGTGGGTAGAAATGTAGGCCTGGTCTACATGGGGAGTTTAGGTCAAACTTAACCACATTAGGTCAATTTTCCAGACAAAGAGTCCACATGACCAACCTCATTCCATTGACTTTAAGGGCTATTAAAGTTGATTTCCGTATTCCTGCTTTTCACAAGGAGTAACGCTAAATTTAACCTTGCATTGTCGACTATGGCAGTAAAGATGCAGCGCTGTAAAAGTCAAAGTTCTTAGCCTTTGGAAGGTGTTCCAAAGTGCTCTGTGATGACTGCTCTGGCCAGGACTTTCAACTCTACTGCTCTCTGGGTGAACTGGAAAAGCTCTGGGAAAATTTGAATTTCATTTACTGTGTGCACTTCTGGTGTGTTTGCATTTTTTTTCGTGCTACAAGTGGGGTAAGGCAATTGAGTGTGATCTGTAGCAGCCATTGTGCCTACATAGCGGGGACTCCCTGGAACAGCTTGTAAATGTGTCTGAAAACAGAGCGGGAATCCTGCCTATACATCTCCATAAAGCTTTTATAGAGGAACCTTTAAATCCTTCTCACAAGGTTTCTGGGGAGACCTGCCTTATTTCATCCTCCACAGTAGTACACCTTTCCACTCCAAGCCATTAAACTGACATTATTGTAGCACAAAGCATCGTGCCATAAAGTCCAGGTTTCTGGCCACGTTCATTCAGTATCGACTCCTTATAACTCTGTGTGATTTGTAGAAGACTGATATCACTCATGGCAACTTGGATGAAGCAGGAGAGGCTATTAATGGATGCCTCTGCAGCAAACCTCTGTTTGCTCATGCCCAGTGAATCATGGCTTGAGCCTTTGCACTTCTGCCATGCTTGGACTACCTTCTCCCCACTTCTACCCGCATGTTTCTGTGGGAAGGGAAAGCTGCTCTCTCCCAGCACATGGGGGGTTGCCCAAAATGTGGTCACTGCATGAGCCCCTGTCTTGCCAGCTGTCACACAACTACAGACAACGATGACGACTTCAGGGAACCTGGCAAAGAGTCAGCTGCCAGCTTCAAAAAATGCGGCTCTTGCCGGGAGGCAATGCCAGCCTCTAACGGCCATTCTGAATGTATCCGGTGTCTGGGGGAATCATATGTCCCCCAGAAATGTACCCACTGCACCAGACTTACCTCCAGGGCCAGGAAGGACAGAGAGAGGCGTCTTCAGATGCTTCTCTTTGACAGAGCCCTGCAGCCCCAGCAAACAGATGCGGACCAACAGCCCCACAAGTGCCGGGCTTCCTCCCTGACTATGGGGCTTCAGAAAAAGCCCAGGATCTCTCCCGTGAGATCCCTACCAGCTGCCCTGAACACTAGGGAAAGCCATCCTGAAAGACTGGGGACTTCTGGTGCAGCTAAGCCAGGTCGCCCTGTCTCAGCGGCTCCAAAGCCGAAGCGACCGCGGGAGCCTTCACATATGCAGGCTCCTCAGGCAGCATTGCCTCAGCTGCCGCCTCTGCTTCCCTTGCACAGCGCTGAGCCAGCTCCAAGATCGGACCCGGAGCCAATCATCACGGCACCCGCATCGCTCCTAAGCCTCCGCGTGGTGCTGGACTATGCGGCGCCGATCCGCCTCCCTGCCGGCACGGCGCCAGCTGCTGCTGCTGCCTCTGAGCCTCCGGCGCCAATGAACACCGCACAGGCTGTCTCTTCAGCACACACCGGCAGATCAGAAGCTCTGAGTCCTGCTCCTTTGATCTCGCCGCGCCGGAGTTGCTCTCGCTCCCACCTTCTCTCACCGGCACCATCCTCGCCTCTCCCAGTGCCTCGTTCTCCACGCCACTATACCCATTGGCATGGGTCCCCCCATGCCTCTTCCAGGCTGCCTTCACCATTCCTGTCTGCTGCATCTTCCCACCACAGACACCACTACAGGCAGCTCTCTATGTCTCCTGCTTCTTCCAGGGCATCAGACATCTGCTCCTTGCCGGCACGGCGCCAGCTGCTGCTGCTGCCTCT